TTGTCCCGAGATAATCCTTTCATTTCCGGACGCTTTGAAATACACGAAAAAACGAAGTCGTAAGTGGCGGGGTTGTTGGTTGTTATCGGAAGGAAAGTTTTGAAAATTGCCGGCTCAAGTACGTCTCACAACGTTCCAATTTCGTTCCAATTTGCGTGCATCAGACAATCGGCCAGATTTAATTAAAACGATTTTATCGGTCGCGTCCAGTGGTCTCTCGGATAAACCGAAGGACTTGAGGTTATTGGCTCATTAAAACGCAGAATCCGATGCATTTTTTATGATCCGGTAATTGGCCCCGTGCAACAAACAAGGACTGTTGTACGGAGCGAAAGAGCGGTCATGCTATCGCATGGATGTTCCCTCGAATCCCAGAACTTCCGGTGATCCCGCGAACCGGAACGGAAACTGCGTTGAGAAACGGAGAGACAGAGCGACAAGGCCGAAAGTGATTTATATTGTGTCGTGCAAACGCGTATACGCGCGCGCGTGTGTGTGTGTGTGTGTGTGTGTGTGTTCTTCGACAAAAGATTAAACGTGCGACCGATCGCAAAGCTGGAAATTCATTCAGCTTAAGACGCACGTGTCGCTTCAGACTCGACTCACGTCAGTGTCGTTAAAGACTTCTGGCAGGATATTCTTCGAACTTCGTATATCCGATAATCGTTCTTCACAGACCGAAATTAGTTTCGGGATAAGTAGTAAAGCTCGTTGGGAGCTCCGTTTCTGACGTAACGATGTCGGATGTACTTTTCCTTGTTACAAAGGAAAAGTACATCCGACGGAGAAGCCGATAAATCAATCGCAGTTAATGCCGAATGTATTACCCTGTCAGTCTTTCCATTCTTTCGAAAGAGTGAATTAATACTTCATAATTTAGATCATAATTTAAATAAAGTCGTGATTTCCTTTATTCATTTCGATTTTAAGATGACGAAAGTCAATTATATATCTTCTTTTATGTAAACGTTAAATGTATTTTTAGAAAATGTGAAGAGATATTTAAAAAACGAAAATGCTATTAACAAAAATATTAATTACATACTCTATTAACAAACATATTTATGTAGTAGAACTATTATTCATTTAATATAATTTTAACATGTGAAAAGTTATTATATATAATTAAATGTATTTTATTTTAGTGTAAACATGAGGTGTATTTTCACGGAGCTTCCGATGATATTTCATAAAAATAGATTGATGAATTAATAAAACAATGTGTTACATTTGTAGCTTAAATTATACTTAACTTATCAAAGATAATGTTATTTTGCATTAGTAGATTTCATAAAATCCAGTATTGATGATACGAGATATTCTTCGTTATTACAATACAATAAAAGCGGCTAATAAAACATTGAAAGTATTACACAAACGATTTCGTATCTCCACCAGGAAAAAAATTGAAAAAAAGATATCGTATTAAATAAGGTCTCTGTGTCACAATCGGCAATAAAGTTTTACGATCAATCACCTTTCCGTCGGGTTCCATTGACAATGCTCGAAGTTCTTGTCTTGTGATTTTATTTTTATCTCAACATCACAATAAAGTCACCGACCTTCTATCAATCGAGTATGACATTTGCCTAATGACAATGGGAAAATAAATGTTTAGATACATGTTCGTGATTGAACGTTTTCTGAACTTTCTGACATAAAGTCATTTTTTAATATATCCTCAATAATGACACATGATGCTCGATTGTGAGTCTTATAAATTTATTACTATTTTTTTTTTCTAATAAATACTAAAAGAAAAAACGTCAAATCAAATCCTACAATATTTCTCATAAATGTCACGATTTTCTTTCATAAAGCAGTATCAAATAACGATTAATACAGAACCATACTCGATTTCAATGTCTGAAAACTCCGATTTGTACTAAATTTCAATTAAATTCTCGTTACTTCTTTTTATATATACAAACGCTCTCATCGACCGCCCGACGTATCGTGTGTAAACTTTGAGCAATGACGAAAAAGCGTTAATTCGTAAAAACCGTTCCATTTTCGTCGGATAAAATTGATTGCAGGGCAGTGTTAAAAGCACAGGAAGCGCACAGGATCATAGATCTAATGCGAGAACGGGAAGTGTCAATTTGTTACGATTAAATGTTCCATCGAAATGGCATCGCCGCGGGGATAAACGACTCTACGGTATCTCGCCGGTAATGGACGATAAATTTTGAAGATCACGCAAACCTTGCCTGCAGAGAGAACCGGCATTGCCCGGAGGGCGTCAGCGAAACTCTTTACCGATAATTCTATTTCCGTCGCAGCCGTCCGCCACCGCTTGTTCCTATTATCGCGCCCGAAGATAGGTGGAGATAGGAAGAGAACGGAAACGCGGGGAAACGCGAACAGGCGCCCAATTTATCTGCGATTGAAAAAAAATAAAAACAACTCCATCTAGGTATATCGAATGTCGAGGAATCAAGAAAAATGGTTGCGGTCGTTCGGTGGCCAATCGAAAACTTCCTCTGAAATCGATAGCTTTTGAAAAAACTGTGCAATTAAGTGTCTATGTAAAATTATCTTTCGAAATAAAATACAATTGTTTTTTGAGATATATACCACAAGTATGTTCGTATAACATTAATATATTAATTTAATTATTCATTACAATTAATAAGTATAAGAATATATTAATAATGTTTTTAATGTATCGTTTCAAATACCGCTTGCAAAAATAAATAATATTTTCGTTAAATGAAATTACTGGGTATTAGAAGAAGTTAAAAGTATCTATATACAGGTATGTATCCATTAATCCTTTATGGACCGACGACTCCATTTGGGGTCACCTTCTTTTATAAACTACTCGCTCAATTTTGATAAAACTTATGAAGTAACTTGATAACGCTTTATTCGAATCTGAGATTAAAAATAAACAATTCAAAATGGTAGGTTTAATGTGATAGACAGAATTTTAAAAAAATAATTTAATTATAAAACTCGGGCTTTGAGAGTTTTTAATTGTTAAGTAATATCAAATTGCCACACAGTTTTGCTTTATTTGAAGCTCATCAATACTATGTAAACTGATTTCCAAATTGACTTTAAAACTCTGATTATGAACTTTGTGACACTGGATCCTCTTTCATGTTACTGTCCTTTTGAAATTCGATATTTTTAGTCTATATTCAAACTCATCAAATATCAAGAACTTCTTAAAACCGAGTTTTACGATAAACAGATTATTTTTTGGAAATTTAAATTTTAAAATTCTAAGACTACAATCAAATTCAGTGAAAATATTAAGAAAGCAAAATTTTCCATAAGTTGCTCCTTAGAAAGCTCTGGTTCTTACAGAGTTGAATTCTATAAATTAAACAATTTTAATTAATAAAATTACTGAATATTCTAAAAAGTTAAGAGTATTTCTATAAAGATACATATCCATTAGATTATCTAAAATAAATAATAAGATTCTAATTAATGAAATTACTAAGTATTAGGAAAAGTTATGAAAGTATTTCTATATACACACACACAAATACATATCCACTACATTTTCCAAAATAAATAATATTTTAATTAATATAATTATTGGATATTAGAAAAAATTACACACACACACAC